TTGAGACAAAGAAAGTCGCAGTGCTTTGATGATGGGCTTACGGGGCATCGGGTAAAGTACTGGCCTGTATAGTACTTACCAAACCATTGATGGGCGAGTTCATGGGCAATAACAGACGCTACGCTGTGTTGACTAACTTTGGCTGATACTTTCGGATCGTACAATAGGTAAGATTCACGGTAAGTAATCAACCCCCAATTCTCCATAGCCCCGGCGCTGAAATCAGGGATGGCTATCATGTCTTGCTTCGGCAGTGGGTAGCCAATATTAAAGAACTTCTCGTAGAATCTTAGAGCTTTTGGTCCGACGTCTTTGGCAAAATCAACCTGCAATGCTTTTTGAATGACTAAACTGTTGCAAATAGTAAAAACAGCAATTACCTGGTCGATAGCATCTTGTCTTGACCATATTCTGAAGGTGACGTTGTTGTTATCAATGGGCTCAGCTTCCTTGTAGTGAAAATCGGATACCACATAAGCAACCAGATAGGTGGACATAGGAACTGAAATGTCGAAGTTATCCCAATACCATCCCGGCTTATCCTCCCTAATACACATGGAAACCTTAGCTAAACTGGCTTGAAGTTCTAGTTGAATTCTTACATGGGTTCCGTAGATAAGAGAGGCATATTGCTGATACTTTTGTATCCATCTTTCCTAGCAATGCTGATATCAAAGGTTGCTTTCATAGCTGGTTCGTCAAAGCACGGGAACGCCCTTCTAGCACTTATAGCCTCAAACTGAGTTACACCCAACCACTTCTTTTCTTTGGTTTTAGCATCTGTGTAGCTGCTTCTATAAAATCCTTTAACAAGTACAGGATTCAGTGATCAGTAGTATGGGGATTATTTCGATGCATACCTGCTAAGCTATCATCTAACTTTCCTTTAAAAGGAATGTAAATTTCATATCGATGATCTTCAGTTAAAGTTTGGTCAAAAGCAATAATTAGAAAGTCGTGCTCCGTGTTGAACGAGATTTTCAGATCTTTTATCTCTTTTCCAGCCTTGCTGGAAATGTCCTTCAACCTCACATGGGTTTTGTCTATTTCCAGTCCTTTCGAGTGAAGAGTTATGTTGTTGGTGGGCGTCACGCATGATGTCTAGAAAAATAATATTGTCAGTAGCTAAATATTTTATAGAGTAAAAGACTTTCGAGGTCATTCCTTGAAACTATTGGGTTTTTTCGGGGTTTTTAGGTCGTCGTAAATGAAAAAAATTTATAAATTCCATTTTACAACGGCCTAAATACCCGAATAACCCACTAGATTCATTTTATAGATTAGTTTGCTATAGACGCTGTCGTCTAGCATGCAACTTCACATATTGAATATTTGATTACAAAATAACAATTATTCGATTTATTTAAATATTATCGAAGTCCGTTGAACGGTACGAGTTTCATTTCGATACTGGACGAATAACGCGATTTTAACGTGGTGTTCTTCAAATTATATCTATAATGAACATATATCTTTGCTCTTTATTTTATATTATTAGCGCATTTTAACATGATTTCTAAGATTGATCCAGAAACGTTTGTCCAAAAACCAGAAATGTTTTATTAAGTATGCGAGGGTGTTGCTCGCTTCCTTGAATTTCATACTCAACTATTCCTACCAATATATTTGCACTTAAAAGTATTTTTAGTAGTATGAATACGTTGCTTCGAATTATTGGATTAATTTAGCAAGAAAGTAAATTCGGCTCTTTAGTGGAAGATAAAACTCGATTTTTTCTATACACCAAATTAATTTTAATCAGTCAAATATCATCCATTCTGTTCGATGACCATTTGTCAACTTTCCGGTAACTTCATCATCCCGGGCTCATAGAATTTCTGGTCACTAACAGCAAAAAGCTCAACCAAGTGCAATTTGAGGTCATCATTATTACTGAAATATTTACCATTTAAGAAGTTATGTAAACTTCTATGTATGTTGTATGTTGGGGCTGAACGGGTGATGAGAAACCACTTCCCAACGAAACTCCAGAAAAAGAGTTTCGTACGTGTGCTAAAGATGTGTGATGCCTCGCATTGTCGGGGTGGAATTAATTTGCCATTTGCTAATTTTGGCCTTTTCTCTTTGATTGCTTCCCGCAATTTTACGAGATCAAAGAGTCAATAGGGACCAAAACCGAAAACAACACGGTAGTCTTTGGAGTGAGCAGAAAATTTGTTTCTTGCAATTTCCGTGGTAATTCTGTGATTCAAGCAGACTTTCAGCTAGAGTGAAGTTCACTTTCAATTATTTAGTTAATTCATGCAACCCGGAATATTATATTTTTTGTCAAGTCCAACAAAAACTTCAGGTGCAATTTGAACCCTAGTTTTTTAAAATTGGTTCAAGAGAAAAATGTATCACTGCAAAACCAAAAAAGTTTATTTTTTAACACCACTGTAAATAAACGAGATGTTCGAAAAATTGCAAAACTTTTTCGAAATATGAGGCCTATCTTAATGCATGTGGAATTTTCATCAATTTTGTTTGCCGTTGATTCTTTTATTTGCCACCCCGTAGAAACTTTATCTGAACCACTGTTTTTTTAGAAAAACAAAATCAAATTGCAAAAAAAATCGACAAAATTGCTTTCAGCGACTAGAATTTATCCAGTTATCCAAAATTTGACGAAATTTATTCGTGTAACTTTTATTTCGTTGAGCAGCTTAATTGTTAGAACGGACAAAAATTGTAGAGTCAAATATAAAACAAATAAAATAATAAGGGGGACGTCTTATCAACAGCAAATGCAGATCAGGCAATCATAATTAAGCGAAAAAATAACAAAATGAACATATCCTACATATGTGCAATGTCGTAAACGAAAAAATGCACAGCAATTTTCGACCTGCGAAGTACATTCAGATGTAGAGAGGGAATATAAAAATTGAAGAGCATCATCCGAAGTACATCCAATGGAGAAAAGTGAAGAAACTGTAATAGACATCATCTGTTTAAACTGATTGCTACAAACCACATTTAAATTTACGGAAACTATTGAAACAAACACAATTATCGGATATGCTTTGATATCAATAAAAACCAGATATTTATTATGGCTCCTTAAGAAGTCCAGATCAATACCAACAAGACATGGAGTCAAACATAAATGAAATGGGAATTAAATAGACAAATATCCAAAGCGATAAGAAGAGATGTAAGAGCATATAACACAAAGGAAGTAACCAGAGTTATAGAGGATGATCGAGGCACAAAGTGATTAAAAAGGATATTTTCAGAAGGGCGGAAGAACTTGATCAAGTTAAGGAACCAAAAGAGTTCAGGGAAAAATGAAAATAGAAGAAATAATCTTAACATCATAATAACTTCAGCAACGTAGAAAGTTAGTATTCAAATTTTTGCGGCGTCCTATTTCTAATAAATATTTTTATTTAATTTAAGCCTTGTTGATCATTTCGTTAGAATTGATTAGCTTATTTTTGAAGGGCGTCGTTGAAAGAATCACGAATTTAACAGTTCACTATTTTACATTATATTACCTATTGCAAAAACCAATACTAATATAAGCAACTCTTTAGGTCCCGCTGGTTTCTCAATGGAAAACCCGGTTTTAAAACACACATTTTTGTCAAAGTCAATCCTAATCATGAGGAAATTTTCTGTTAAGAAATTAACTGTGCTGGTAGTATATGCAAAATTACAATCTTTCATTAGTAGATATTGTTAAATTAAGCCGAATAGAAGGTTAGTTGACATGATTTCAGCACAGCACCCGATTACTTATTTAAAAACCCGATCAGCCATTTGCCCACAAGGCTCAAAAAACAAGGCAATGCATTGACCCATATTAGTGCCTTCACTGTTAATGCTTTTTATTTAAATTCTTCTTGGTCCGCAAGTTCTACCAGTTGGTTCAATGCCTTCGATTAAGAAGTCAGCAACCTGTTTGTCGAAATTCGTTTCCATTTCGGTTGGTTCATTAAAAATGCTAACATTGTTCGTACCTCAATCCATACTTTTCCTTCAAAATCGAAGTTGTTCTTTTCGCCAAATGGGGCGACAATTTCGAGACGATAACTTTCAGGCATCACATTTGTGGGCAGCCGGTACGCCTCGATAAGTGAAATGACGGTCACGGCCAAAATAGCCAGCTGCTTCATCGTTAAGCTGAGAAACAAAAATAAAATAAAAAATATGCAGATAAGTATTAATGAAAAATCGTGGCCCACTATACCATAATACATGCAGCCGATATAGAAGTGAAAGAATTGCCCGGTTTGTAATTGACCGTATTTTAAAACAAAAATATCTTGTGAGAATTTGTGACCACAAAACCTTGTTAGATTTGAGTGTGGAACAGTCACTCAAAAATCATCTCAAAACCAGTCATTTTGTCAATTATTTTATGTCGGGTCTACACCAAAAAACTTTTTGCAAACAATACAGAAATTCAGTCATTTGGGAATGTCTGCAAAATGTTTCAGGCGAAACTAAAGAACAAACTGAAAACCGAGTACACTCTAGAGAATTTTAGATGAACACGCAACGACTCAAAATACCAAAGATACATTTATTAATTGTAACTTAAAAACGAACAAAACAATATTTCATCATAAAAAAATATGTATACATTCTGTAAATGGTATTAAATCTTTGTACAGTAGAAGAGTATCGACGACGTCGAAAATCAAACATTTCAAACTGTTTTGGCGCGTGCCCAACAAAGATAGTGTTTTAGTTTCTGCTGCACCTTTTACCAATTAACATCACGGTCACTAACAAACTACAACAGGAATTAACAATTATAATAATAATCATCGAAGGTCGGAGGAAAATCCCCATGCAACGCAAGAACACAAATTTCAATGTCTGTTTTGTATACGAATAATGCTGCAGTTTAATACTAATGAGGAAATATTGGAAGAAGTTTCTTCTAATATTCGTCCACGTACTGTCTTCCCATATGATGGAGCGCCTCCTCTTTTGTTAAAATAATAAAAAAATCACTTTCTTATACCTTTCTAAATAAAAGAGTCGTCGGTTTCTGCTACAAAAGTGGATACAAAGAATGCCTTACTAGTACGCATTCTTCCGCATGGTTTATTAGCTAAAACGCTACTAGAGCAATTATATAAACGCATAAAAAACTGTAAAATCGGATAACAATATATTCAAATTTTTTAAATAAATTAGTTTTATTTGTCCATAATTCCAAATCAAAATTAATTCCTG